TTTATATTATATTGTGAACTAAATGTTATTGTATTAGGCAAATGAGAACCATGCAATAAATGTCTCGGTATTTTGAATGCAAGCTTTATCTTTACTACTTGCTCGAACTCTAGTAGCTACTGCGCGAATTTTAATACATGTATTGAGGTATATTGTCATAGAATAAGAAATGAATAGAAGGGCAACTCGCGTGTACAACGCGTCCGTAATTTTTTATGCGCATGCGTGAGGTCCGCCATTACTCTGGCCAGTAAACTGGCTGCTGGCGTACTATAGATTATATGGAGAAGAGTAGTGTTTGGGCTACAAATTTGCCTTTTTCGTTCAAGTCTTTCAATGATCGTGAAAGTTTTTGACAGAAGATGAAAGAAATAAGGTGAGACATTGCAATTTATTAGGTAAAAGCAATCTAAAGACGTTCTATTAGCAAATACTGACCGTTTTTAAAAGTTGTATATTTGTATATTGAATAAAAATGTTTGGTATATTCTTGGGTAAATTGGCACGGTACTCCTATTTTATCAGATACTTATGTTAGTTCAAATCTTCATAACAATGTGCTTACAGTAAAAGCATTGTTTCATCCCAATTTTCCGTATTTAGCACAGTTGAGTATTGTATAGTGTCTGTTTCCATATCGGACATATTTTCACGTTATTTTACCTGATCTAGCTGGATGTATTTTCATGTATATTTATACAAATACACAACTATTACAAACACACAACTAAAAGATTCCTTTTGTGTTTGAAACACAAAAGGAATCTTTTAGTTGTGTGTTTGTAATACTTTCTTTCACAAATAACATGTGTTGTCTTCTGTAAAATAAGTAGTTTTTTGAAGTTTGAAATTTTGTATAAAACAAACTGATAGACTATAGTATAGTATACAAATGTGCTGCAGGTGATTCAGAAACATTGCTAACTGTTTTTTATTCAATCAGGTATCACCATACTTTTTGTTGTTATGTACTCTGGTGAATGCAAACTAAAAAGTTTGCCTGACCATGGTCAGGCATGGTGGGAATCGAACCCATGACCTTTGGGTTATCACTCCAATGCTCTACCAACTGAGCTATGAGGTCACCTAAGTATATAACACTAACACACACAAAAAGTATCATGTCTTAGAATACATTGATATCGAAGGAACCACACTCAGTTCCAAAATATCACCAACTCGAACTGACTTAACCTAGTAGTTCAGTTGGTTGAGCATTGGACTGGTATCCCATTAAGGTCACCGGTTTGATTCCCACCATAGTCAGGCAAACTTTTTAGTTTGTCCCTGTGTGGATGCACACGCAGAGTAACACCACAAACATCAAGTTATGACCATGTTTACACTTTATCCATGCCTGACAATCACTGACACAGGCAACACATCAATTTGCCCGAGTGTATGGAATGTGCAATTCCTCTGCACACTGGACGGCAGTGAATCTAGGCTCTAGGAATAGACAATCCCCATTATACATTAATTTTAAAACTAGGCAAGGAAACTCAAATAAATCAGCACAGCTAGAAAGAGCATACTAAAATTAGTAAAATTACAAAGTTTGGTTGCAAAATGTTGTAAAAAGAGGAAAATATAGCCTTGTAAAATTCGCAAATTTTGTATACTTTTGTATTGCTTGCGGAAATTCCTACCACATTTAGGCCGAACATGTCGCACACAATACAAAAGTATACAAAATTTGCAAACTTTGCAAGGCTATATTTTCCACATTTTACAACATTGTGCAATCAAACTTTGTAAATTTACTAATTTTAGTATGCTCTTTCTAGCTGTGGTGATTTATTTGCATCTCCTTGCCTAGTTTTAAAATTAGTCTATAATGGGAATTGTCTATTGTGTATCGTTTTTGTGCCAAAAGATTCGACAGTAAAATATAAGCTGTTGTGCACGCAATAATCACTGATTTGTGCACAAAACTGGACAGCCTTTTCTTTCCATGCTGGGCAATTTGGGCCTCTAGCATGACTAGGCCAAGCTGGCAATGTGGCCCTTCTATAACACAGTATTGTCCATGTCATAATTTTTGTTTCATTTAGTTTAATTTCTGCCTTCTGGACGTGCTCAAGCCTTGGCAACAAGTACTCAAGTTTCACTCTGTTGAAGACCAATTTGTCATTGATTGGATCATATTGTGTTGTCTTTGTAATATAATATATGTATGCCAGAATGGCAGTGTAGAAACATTAAAATTTTTTACAAAAATATGTTGAATACTCTTTCATTTCTCTCGTAGTATTACATTATGCAAGATGTGGACACCAAATATATGGGGCTGTTCCATATGAGATGTGCTGGCATTACAAAATGGACCAGGCTGCTTAGGTACCCCATTTCAAGTTTGTATTCAAATGTGGATACATGCTTTATTTTTCCATTCGGACACCTATAAATCTAAGAATGTAGAAAGCTATCCAAAATTATATTGCAATTTCTGCATAATGCTTCCCAGGTTAGCCTGCCTCCACTAGTGTATGAAGGCAAGCTAACCTGGTTTACCAGGCCAGCCCAACTCTTATGAACAGCTCTTAATGTAGAATGTGAATGGGTTTCATATAATACAGTATATTCCTTTTGTTCCTGGAGATATGATTTAAATTTCATGCAATATTACACATAGTTCTATAACCTACAGTACCATGCTTTCATCGTCAAAAAATAATGTCATAGCTTTGTTATACACAGTTATTAAGCCACAAATGGCCAAAGGTCTACGTTAATTATTGAGGGGGGGGGGGTATTGCCCACCTGGCCCCCTAGTGTCCACCACTGAATATATGCATTTGACTATTGCAGCAAATTAGACTTGTTTTAGGCTCATACATTGTGCTTATTAAAATACCAATTGCGACTTGTTGAAAGTTTGTTTATAACAATATAAAGTACAGAACTAAGTAGTTCCTATGCAAGATAAAATCAACTTGTAGCCAATGTTCAAATGGTATCTTTGAATGTTAGTAATATTTGAAACAGTTCCAAGGTTCTTTCAGACAAATCCAATTGAATATTGGACTGTGCTGGAACCATACTGACCACCTTCACTTCCTATTCTATGATAGTGACTTTGCCACTTCTATAAAAACAAAAAAATACATTAAATTCAATCAAACTTGTACACGATCCAATTGAATATTGGACTGTGCTGGAACCATACTGACCACCTTCACTTCCTATTCTATGATAGTGACTTTGCCACTTCTATAAAAACAAAAAAATACATTAAATTCAATCAAACAAAACAGTTATAAACACATGGAAGTGACCACATGTGCATAAAAAGCTGCTCTGCTCTGGATGAGAAACCTCAAAATGAATCAAATCTATCTAATATTACTGCAACATCTGAACAAAAAAAAAACGTATTCACACTAGCTTTAAAGACCAAGACAACCCGAAAAATAAAAAAATATGATATGCACGATAGTTGCAAAGATTAACAACGATTCACTAGTTTAAAACCTATAAACATAGTCTGTATCATGTACTGTATATATAAATAATAATGTTCGTCAACTCCATATTTAATAGTAATATTTGTAGCTGATAAATACCTCGATTAAATGTTTTATTTGACCAATAAATGAATAAATACAAACTACTTACCTTCCTCTTGGGTGTTTTGGTTTTAAAATCTAATTTTATAAGCAAATATCCACAAAATGTCAATTTTAAAACAAATCACAGCTCTCACTCCATATATTTTATATCGATTCCAGCTGCAAATTACTGGCCAGAGTAATGGCCGCCGTCGTATTTCCGGCATGCGCGACACGACATGCGCGAGGACACCGACTTCAAAGGATCCGACATTCAGTTGCCCTTCTATTCATTTCTTATTCTATGCCTTGAGTGAACCTTCTGCCCTTATCTCTTCTGTGTCTTCAAGTTTCAATGGAAATCTGGCGCATGCGCAACAAATTTCCCAGCTGCTTATATAAACGCAATAAAGACACAGATGAGGTAGGATAAAGACACAGAGTAGATATACTACACAGAGGTGGAACTCAGCCAAAAAAGTGTAACCGGCCGCCAAAAGCTTAGCCAGTGCGCTAAAGAGAGGCATTCACCCCCCCGAACTCAAATTTCAAGATGGCGCCCGAGTGTTTCAGAAAATAATCGACACGAGAAACACTTGTTATTTTGCTCATAACAGTTTTCCTTTACTAAAGTTGTTATTAACATGTTTATATAATTCGTCCTTCAAAGATGTGTTGGTATGAGAAACCTTTGAAGATTATCTACCGATTTATATGGCACTATATTCATCGTAGGAGTGAAAATTGAAATTTCGAAATTACCGAGAAATTAATACTCATGTGAGTCATGTCCAGAGGAGGAGTGGTCACTATACCACAATGCATTGCTTCTCATTAATATTCGAAATTGAACTTTGCGAGTCTTTGAGAGATGTTTGTCGAAAAATTGTGGTTTTCTATCGCGAATTTTCACTCTGAAAATTTTGATTTTTGGAAGGTACGTTTTTATAATTGTTTTATTTGTGACCTTAATTGCACAATTTTTGTTTTATGTGGTTGTCGTATCATGCTTCAGTGATGTTAATCACGCATTGAATTACCCTTGGTTTCGGGTCAGTGCACATGTTACAAAAATGCCTCCGATACTCGCCGGGGGTTAAATACTTTTTAAATCAGGAAATTCAACAAAATTTACAGCATCGAATTCAGAAAGGGTTATTCTTTCTATTGATACTTCAAAACACAAATAACCCCCTCGAACTGACGAGTTATCGCGGTTTGAAAATGGGGTATATTTCGGGGCTATAAAAGAAATGGCATTGATATACGCCGGGGGTTAAATAGTTTATAAATCGGGAAATTCAGCAAAATTCACATCATTGAATTCGGGGAGGGTCACGGTTCTAGCTGATACTTTAAAACATTAATAATCCCCTCCAACCGACGAGTTATCGCGGTTTGAAAATGGGGTATATTCCCGGTATAGTGCCATGACACGAAAACGGCTTTGATATATGCAGGGGGTTATTAGGTTTATAAATCGGGAAATTCAATAAAATTCACATCATTGTATTCAGTAAGGGTTACTCTTTCTATTGGTACCTTAAAACATAAATAACCCCCTGAAACAGACGAGTAATCGTTGTTTGAAAATGGGGTATTTTTACTTTTGTTGTCACCAATCGCGGGAAAAGAGGAATTCTACAGGAAATATGGCGCGAATGCAACGTAAACAAGCCAGCTTTTCTATAAACGTATTGTTCCTGATTGTATCATTTGTTTTTATAGAATTCGACTTATTCGAGTTTATTGGAGAAAAAATGGAACTATTAATGATGGCGATGTTGTCATTGTTGATCATGATTTAGAAAATGAGGAAACTCAAATTTAATACTGATACGCCAGGAAAATATCTCGTGTGGAGAGTTCATCATTCACTCCATTCAATCGAGCTTTGTTTCAAAGTCTTGGCACATCAGCAAAGGTATAATAAAAAAAATATGGTAGACGAAATTGTACTTATAAATGTACTGTTATTCTTTGCTATTTTATTCTTATAAATTGTCTTTGTATATTCAGTGTAAAGCTGGAGTAAATACGAGCAACAAAATTGCTGCAACTTGCAACAAAATCTGATTTCAACGCATGTACGAGGCAACATCTGTCAACATTTCTATGACTTGTATTAAGTTATGTGTCAACATCTCCACTTAACATCTGTTGAAATCAGATTTTGTTGCAAATTGCAGCTATTTTGTTGTCTGTATTACTCCACCTTAATACCTCTGTGTAACATTATTCTGCAGTGTAACATTATTCATGTATTAACATCTGTTGAAATCAGATTTTGTTGCAAATTGCAGCTATTTTTTTGTCTGTATTACTCCACCTTAATACCTCTGTGTAACATTATTCTGCAGTGTAACATTATTCATGTATGTCTGTTTATTCATATGTCATCTGCACCCCAATTTCCATTTTAGTAAATGACATACTTTTTTGTAGTTTCCTAGCAGAAAGATCAGGCTGACTCTGTCAGAGAAGTTACCAGTGAAAAAAACATAAATGGACCTTTGAAGAAAATAAAGCTTTGATCAAGTTGATATCTATTGCCAAAAAAGATCCATGGATCTGGAGAAATTTTGTCCATAACAAAATAAAATAACAACAATTTACCGCATTAGCCTAGTAATCTATGTCACTGTTATAATGGGTCGTTCCAGAAAAGATCCATACTCCCCCCACAGAGGAAATTTCTGCCGTCCGGAGGGGAAGGGGAGAAAAAATTGTTTCTGATAATAGTAAATGTATTAGGACATCCGAAGGGGGTAGGGGGGTTAACTTCCTATTTCCTCTGTGGGGGCGGTATGGATGTTTTCTGGAATGACCCAATTGTAGGGATCCATAATAAAATAAATATGTAGGAATCCATAATAAAATAACAACAATTTACAATATACTTCTTGTGTGTGTTGGTGTTATTTACTCAGGTGAATATGTTTGTGATGTTACTCTGAGTATGCATCCACACCGAGCTGAGCTCAGTTGGTAGAGCATAATTGGACTAATATCCCAAAGATGGCAAGTTCGATTCCCACCATGGTCAGGCAAACTTTTCAGCTTGCCCGGTGTGGATGCACACTCAGAATAACATCACAAACATCAATTTACAATATTCTAGTAATCTATGTCACTGTTATAATTGTTTCTTGGATCATCTCTGTCCCATGGTCCACTTTTTGCAATAAGCAATGCTGCACTGTAGAGTAATAGTACCCACCAAGCACACTGAATTTATTGGTTGTAGATCACAGTTATATCCAGTTTGCCCTTGTAAATTTATTAGTGACAGCACACTGTCCAAATCTTCATTAACAGTATCTGGACCTTGAGGTTGAATTGTTTGAGAAGGTGGCAATGCCAGAATCTAGAAATCCCACAAAATAACATTCCCAAAGATAAAAGATTGTCCTGTTCCATCTCGTCTTAGATCACTGAGGTCAGAGAACTGCAATATATAAAAACAATCTTCTGTTTAACCCTTTAAGTGCCACAAAATCTAGAAATCCCACAAAATAACATTCCCAAAGATAAAAGATTGTCCTGTTCCATCTCGTCTTAGATCACTGAGGTCAGAGAACTGCAATATATAAAAACAATCTTCTGTTTAACAACGTTAGACAGAGTAAAATATTAAAGTAGGGCGCATGAGGGCACAATGTGACTCAATGGGTTAACTAGGCACATGGGCAGATAGGCCAGCTGCCATTAGAAAGAGTAAAATAATCTGGTGTTAGAGTAAAATAATAAAGTAGGGTGCAATTAATGCAACTCGATGCAATTCAATGGGTTAATTACTTTAATGGTACGTATAAAATACCAAAGTAATCAAACCTCTATGATCAAACCAAATGAACAGTGTTGGCTTCTCTAACTTAAACTATTTTTTAGCTCTATATGCATATATTCATATTCATATATTAATAAATATCTATCTATCTATATTCAAAATAGAAAGCACAAATATTTTTACCAATATTGGCTATAAAAATGTGAATCATAGAAAAAGCAAGAAGCATTGCGTAGATACATTGCCTTTGTATTGGCTTTAAGGATTAAAACAAACGACTTACCCTAAAAACACAACTGGAATGTATCTCTATACTCTATCAATGCTGGGCTATTGCAATCGGCGAAGATTTCATCAACTTTTAGAGACAAATATAGCGATTCTTCTGATGTGAATCTCGCGGCATTGAAACTGAACACACGATAACCCATAGGAACCAACGCTATTGCAATAGGCGAAGATTTCATCAACTTTTAGAGACAAATATAGCGATTCTTCTGATGTGAATCTCGCGGCATTGAAACTGAACACACGATAACCCATAGGAACCAACAGCAACCGCATAGGCTCTGACGATCCACAATGAACAAAAAGAAGACCGTGTCCTTCCAAAACTGAAGCTTTATGGCGGTGAATCGGCTTTACAAAATCCGCCATATTTCTCACTCCTGTTGTTTTGATAGCGAAGGTCAAGAGAACAATAACCGCCCGCTCGTGGAAAATCAATAATATATAATTAATTGGAATAATCGCAATGCATCACGGTATAGTGACCACTCCTCCTCTGAGTCATGTCTAAAGGATTTAGAAGAAATGTAAATGGTATAATAACTTATGTGCAGCTGGATTTCGTTGTATTTAATATTTTGTGAAATACTTAGGCAGAAATCAGTCAAGATTTCACTATCTGAAATTGAAACCGCTATTGTAGTATATGGCACCCTGTTTATAATAGTGATAAAAATCATAAAACGTGAGGGATGTTGGTTTTTTACATTTCAAACACACTATATTTAAAAAAATATGATGTACATAGTTCATATTTAACATCATTCAGGTTTGCTATTCTTTAAATGAATTTTGATTAGAGTTTCTGAATGAGATGCCGAAACAATGTGAAAGTTGGGTATTCTTTAAAGTAATACTTTCATGTGTTGTGATGCGACATCTCGGCACATGGTGGTCAGCTCTAAAAGGAAACACAGTTACCGGTGTGAGTATATTGTTCACTATATGTCTCGACCTCATGTTTGCTGGCGAATACATGCAATTTAGCCTCATTTGCTCACTCCCCAAGTCATTAGTGTTGATACATGTAATGTTGACCACCATGTATAACCCTTGTATAACCCTATGTATAACCCTTGTATAACCATTATTACTCTGTCTAATGCTATACAATTTTACTCATCAAGGGGAGAGTGCTGGCACTTAGTGGGTTAACTCGTTTATCTGCCCATGAAGTGTCTAGTTAACCCATTGAGTCACATTGCACCCTACTTTATTATTTTCTGTCTAATGCCAGATGATTTTAGTTGTCAAGGGGAGAGTTCTGGGTTAATATTTAAGTAGAATTAGCCTCTTCCACAGGCAACTCTGTATTGTTTTGTATAATAGGTTTTATATTTGGGATTTTTTCCTCCCATGTTTTGCTCTCCCCAGGCCTAACACTATTTTGCTTGAAGCTCGACCAAAGTTTGATCATTTACAAAATGCATTTACAATACAAAACAAATAAGAGTTGAAAACCTGTTATACAAAACAATACAGAGTTGCCTGCAGAGGAGGCAAAAATAGAATATGATTTATAACAGCAGATAACATTGAATTGTAGAAATCGAAGAAAAATAAAACATTCAAACAATTGATGTAAACAATGTATTTTTCAGTCTTTTCAATATACCACATTTATCAAATGTTCATATTTTACCATTATTTGTCTGACACTCCGGGGCTTAACACTGATACATGTAGGATAATCTATGCTGAAAAAACCTGGAGGTAAAGAGTTGGGGGGCTGGAAAATTCTTCACGAGGGCCTTTACATGCAGCTGATGTAGAGTCCAATGGCTTATTATTACCCACATTACAGGAAACAAAAACCTGAATCTATAGATTCACCTCTCACACTCTGGCCTATAGCCTCACTTCTACTTCCAGGGGAAGTGAAATTGTCACACTCACACATTATTAGTTCCTTCTATGGTGCATATGGCTCAAGAATTTTAACAGTGTCAGTGAAAATGTCCAATGTTTATTCAACCATTAATTCACCCTCAACCCATGCATGTACAGGCTGAAGTTATCTGGTATGCCTATATGCACATGGGGAAAATTTTGAGTACAAAAATAAAAGGTTGACCAACAATCTTGCTAGCATTTTTAATCAATACACCCAGGGGTGAAGACCTTGGATCTTCTTAAAGAGGGACATAAAAATCCATTTCAAAGGAATGTTGTCACTCAAATATTTGGCTTAAAAACTGTATTATGCATTTCCAGGGAGCTGGTTCCAAAATATCTTGGAAAATATTTCCAGGGGAGCCAATGAAAAACATTATTTTTGGAAACTCCAGGATGTTTTGAAGGTCGTCACCCACAATCACTACTTAAATACTGAACACTGAAAAATATTTGGGTTTTTATCAAATTTGCCAATCATCATTTGCTTCTTCATCATAACTCTTGCCCAGTCTACAAATGGGAAAATTGTTGTCAAAAATGTTGTGTCTTGGGCAGGCATTAGTTATTACTTGATTAGTCTATTACAAAGCCATGGGTAGCCTGTCCTCTCATCTAGGTGCATGCTTAACATGATTGGTGCATATAGAAATTATTTTGGAAAAGAATGTCACTATATTATTTCATACATTATACATACAATAAAGTACACTAAGCATCTGTTAAATTCCAATTATTAGCATTCACAAACAACAGTGTTACTACAGCCAAAATAGCAACAAAATATATAAATCACAGACAAAATATATAAATCACAGACACAGCTGATTGAGCTGAATGCTTATAAATGGAACTACTGAACGTAGTGAACTACAGTACATACAGCTACAAGTATACAACTGTAAAATATCAGTAAAAAGTTGTAAAAACAGATTAAGTCATTAACTATATTCTGAATTCACATGACAATTGCTAATGTAACCCCCTGCACTCTTAATTCCTGACTATCAGACAAATAGCAAAAAATAGCATGAATGTGTTATTGTTAAGTTTTTATTAAATAGTCAAAAGATTCACACCGTACCTTAAGATACAAAACTTTTGCCGTTTGTCAACCAAATTCTTTGTCAAGCAAAGTTTCTTCCTTTCCACAAAAGATCCACGATATTTTACACAAATTTACAGGTATATTAAAGCTAAACTAACCAAGCAGGCTAAGCCCATAAACCAAAATATGGCAAAATATTTACAATTCCCGCTCATATGAAAACAATTTTGTTGAGAAAAAAAGAAAAAGAAACTGCAAATCTCTCCCAGATTTACCTCTTCCCATAGGCAAACTTGAAAATAAAAATAATTCAACAAAAATCAGCGAGATTTCAAACAATATCCTTGATTTCGAAACAATTTTTTGCGATCTTTTTAGTAAAAAATGCCCGCCATTTTGTAGTGATGGGCGATACCGAGTACTCGGTATTCGATACCAGCGATACCACAAACAGCGGTATCGGTATCGATTACTGACGTAGTATCGTTCGATACTTGCACCCTTTTTTAAACGACTTGTTTAATTTCACTTCTTGGTTGAATAAGACTTAATGAACCACTAAAATAACTCTTAATATTCCAAATGTGGTGCGCCAAGTCATGTGTAGAAAATATTTATTACGTTTCGGGCTTTTGGTTTACATATAGCATTATTTAGGTTACATATACAGTAATGAAAAATGTTTTTCCGCTGACCGGCAGGTATCGAAAGTAGCCGATACTAGCAATTTAAGTACTCACTTCCGGTATCTAAAATTGAAATTTTGTGTTCATTTTGGTATCGAAATAGGTATCGGTATCGGCCGATACCGATCTTAAAAGTATCGGTATCGGTATCGAATTAAAAATCCTGGTATCGCCCATCACTACCATTTTGTAAGTTTTCGGGGGGGTGAATGCCTCTCCTTAGCGCACTGGCTAAGCTTTTGGTTACACTCAAACATTAGCGTTTCGTAATACAGTTACACCTCTGTCCAGTATCTACTCTGTGATGAAGACATCATTACATTTACAAATGATGCATTACAAATAAACAAATCATTATAAATGGAGATTTAAAGATTGTTATATCGATAAATAGGTATGTGTAAAGCGAAATATATATTTACTTTTATTACCTATTTGGGGTTAATTTAAAAATCATTTTAAAGGGAATTTTCCAAGGGAAAAGTATAGCCCACATGTGGCATAGTATTTAATAATATTGGTGACATATTCATACGAAAACACATGCTGGTCAACTTTGCACGTTTGTCGCTTTTATATATGCCTTGTGGAAGCGAGCAAATTTTGTTAAATGTTCTGTATTTGCTATTGATTACTGAATAGAAGGTGAATTAATATAATGAATTATGAATAATGAACTCAATCCAATAACTGTGTTTCCCTTTGGAGTTGACCACCAAGTGCTAAAGTGCCACATGATTCAGATTGAAACCCAACTATGGTCGCATCACTGTTTAGTCTGTTAGTCACTCTTTTAATCTACCTTGTGCAATTGGCCCATTAGGATTAGAATCATGTAGTCCGGCTTGGCTAATTGACTATTAGAGCAACATAAATAATAAATATTTACTAATAATTAGTAATAATTATTAGTTAGAAATATTAATATTTTATTGCTTTAAGGAATACTATACAGTAACCTAGCCAGAGCTGGAAGGCCCCCTCTCAGAAAATGTTGCCCCCCCCTCCCGTACACCCAGGGGCGAAACTAGCCCATTTTAATTAAGGGGTGTCTGCTAGAATTCCCCTGCAAAAGCCGATGATGCCCTGCAGCAAATTTTTTTGGGGCCACTATTTTTTCCAAAAATGTTGGCGAGTCGGCCTGCCAATCCAGATGATTTGTACTTTGGGGGGTGTCACACTCCCCCGTACCCCCCCCCCCTCAAGTTTCGTCCCTGTGTACATCTAACTTTTGTATGCCTTGATTAAGCTGTCCCTCCCCCTGGATCCACAAAGTCTGAGTGCATATTTTTGGAAATACAACATTTGAATTTTCTTATATTTTACTAGAAATTATGCACAATAACACAGTAAATTTTTAGTAAAATGTTCAAGGAAAAGGATCTTCCAACAACAGCAGATATATTTTTGGAAATACAACATTTGAATTTTCTTATATTTTACTAGAAATTATGCACAATAACACAGTAAATTTTTAGTAAAATGTTCAAGGAAAAGGATCTTCCAACAACAGCAGATTGCACAATAACACAGTAAATTTTTAGTAAAATGTTCAAGGAAAAGGATCTTCCAACAACAGCAGATGACACAGCAAATCTTTAGTAAAATATTGTTCAAGGAAAAGAAACTTCCAACAGCAGCAGATGACACAGTAAATCTTTAGTAAAATAGTGATGGCGCCAGGCTTCCAAATTTGGGGGGGCATTTGAGGGGCAAACTCAAATTTTGGGGGGGGCAAGATAGAATTTTTAAAAAGGTCGCCCCACGGGA